GACTTTCAACAACAGTAACAACGAAAATGGATATCACGTGTAACTCGAAGAGAAAATAATGACATAATCAAAATGTGGACATCCGACACTGCGTCAAACAAAAAGTTAGGAAGAAAATCCCCGTCAGCACTGAAACGATTTCTCAGAAAAATAAATCTCTCAAGTCCAGTTGCAGCTGTCGCTCTTTGTTCTTTCTTAAATAAAAGTTTTTGTCATTATTAGGAATAAAAATGTTACTTAAGATTGGTTTGGTTTGGTTTATTCTATTTTACCGCCTATCGACCTCAATGGGTTTTTAATACCGACACCATTTTTGAGATAGGTTCGTATGAATAGAATACGTATTCTTTGTAAGAAATCAGTTTGTAGATAAGGTTTCATTGACGTATTTTTGTAAAGAGAGTTTTTGTCGAGAGTCAAATATATTGCTGTTATTTTTTTTTCCAAAAATGTATTGCTGTTAATATTTAAAAATGTATTGCTTGTAATATTTTTTCTAAAAATGTATTACTGGTTTTTATACTTTCATAGTGTTTTGACCCCAGTTTGGGAGTTCACTATTTGCCCATAGCTGGGACCCTAACAGGTTCTACCACTCCTTAAATGAGATAGATGAACAAAGAAATAGAAACGAGTTATAATATCACCTCTTTTCAGCTATATTATATTCCGATGGGGACAGAAAAGTTCTCGGCAATAATTTAGAGTCATGAAACATTGTTACATACATTCTGTTACGCACATTCACCTCACTGTTCAACACACTTGGCATATCCTTCATTAAGTATCTTTTAATTCTCCCCTCTCTTTTTTTCTCTCTCTCTCTCTCAAAATAAAAAAAATAAAAAATGGAATAATGACCGTCAACACATTTTCTTTTCTGCAGGACGCACAGGATTTAGATCACGGCGAACTCCTTGACACCATTGCAAAGCAACAAATCTCCATAGTGAAGAAATTCAAAAAGTAAGAATTTTGTAATTCTATTTTCAAATTACTCTATGACTTTTTATCAATATCTTAGATTATTATTTTGAATACTTTATTTTTTTTTATCCTATGTTCAATAGGACGTAGACGATCATGGCTCTCCACAAATTCCTTTTCTTTATTATTGATGAATTGTCATGACTTCTTGAAAAAGATGGTAGAGTGATTTCCCGTTACTTTCACCACAGTTTGGAATTAGAAGGTGAAAGAAGAAATAGAATGGTGACTTTGTTAAGGGCATTAGTTCGAAAGCAAACTCAACAGATTAAGACAGAATTTGAATCTCAGCTCGTCGTTTTCACTTTCCGCCCCGGTAACCGTTAAGCTAGCTTGTAATATTTAAACTTCCTACAGTGATAGTAAGCTCTGAATTCTTTGTGTAAAGACAATGGCGTTTATTTATAAAACAAAGCTTCTGTTCACAATAAAGTCGAAAAAGGTTTAGCAACGACAACGACTTGACTGACTCGGCATTATGTGTACGAACATATTTATAATTACTCAGCCAATAGTTGCATATTTAAAGGTAATAAAATAATTCTTGTTTGTTAGGAGTTATCGGCTTTCACTTCATTCTCCGAGCGTCGACGGCCTGCTGCTCAAGTGTAGACACAATTGCTGACTCTTAATTTTCCCATATCTCTCATTTTTCTAAGTTGGAAGTGAGTTACATCCCAGACTGTGCACTCAGAAGTGAGTCTGCAGTATACTTTTAGAGCGTGGACGATCACTGTTCTCCACAACTTCCTATTCTGTGTAGCTCTTAGTAACGTTTGTCTTTTTACCATCACTCCCCATTTCACTGTTCATTTACACAAGCTCGTCAGGTAGGTTAGTCCCTACCCCCTGTCACTTTTGTCTCTGATATGTTTTTTTTAAGCATTACACCCCGGGCAAGGCGTGAAGCCACTAGGATGCAGGGGGTTGCAGAAGATTTGGAGCGAGAGCAGATAGAAGTGATAGAGGAAAGGATGAGGAGAAGGATAGTGGATAGATCAAGGTAACTGGAGATGTCGATTGACATTACATTTGAATAGTTGGAGATTATAGCTCTCAGGGAAACAGTAATAAGGAAGGGTGTTCCACAGGCGAGAGGTGCGAGGTATGAAGCTATTGGAGTAGAAGAGACGGCTACATTTAGTAGTTTCTACAGTGAATGGGTGAGAGCGGGATGCCAGCCTCGTAGGGCGCTTGAATTCATGAAGTCTGGGAACCAGTGAAAACAGATCATCGGAGCAATTACCATGAAAGTATTTGTAAAAAAGACAGAGAGAGGCGACAGCGCGTCTGTGAGAGAGCAACTGCAGACGAGGTGCCAGATCAGGGCCAATTATATTACATATCCGCCTCTGGATTTTGTCAAGAACCCCCAGGCAAATAGAAGGGGCACCAGACCATATATGGTAGCAATACTCCATGTAAGGGCGAATGGTTGATTTGTATACTTGAAGTATCGATTCCGGGGAGAAAGATTTCCTGGCGCGGCACAGAGAGCCAACTTTCCTCGCGGTGGACGAAGCAATTGACTCAATATATTTGTTCCATCTTCTCGATGGACGAAGCAACAATTGACTCACTGTGAGTATTAAATTTTCCAAACCTTCTTTCCTCATTATGTGCCAAAGACATTTCAACCATCTCTTTCTGATTCTAAGTGACCGTTTTGCTTCCATTTTCCTGAAGATTTCCACGTGTTTTACACGTTTCACACACAGAATTCTCTTCTGTAGAATCATATATATGTTGTTTCTTAGCTTGTCTTTATCTGTGAGGAGATGGTCCAGCATTCACTGCTATCTAGGAGGACTGATATTACATAGCAGTCCAACGCTCTTTTATTTGTTTTTAACAAAATTTACATGGTTTCTACGTACTTTACTTAGCTTTACGAATGTATATTTCAATAAGCGTTTGGATTTTGGTTCCACATTTACCACCCTCTGTTAAATCATTTTCTAGATATTTGAAACTTCTGTACTTTTCCGATTTTGCCATTTCCAATTATTAGTTGGCATCTTGTTTTTTTTTTCTATCTGACAATCACGCATTCTGTCTCCTCACAATTGATGGTGTTCGTCTACGTTACATTTATTACCATGTCTAAGAGGTCGTATAGTTTTTTTTTTTTTACTTATGTGGCTGCCATCAACACATTGTCATCTGCGGATCTTGCATCTTATTAGCTCCACTAAGACGCAAGAGGCTACTTGAAGTGAAAGAGAAGGAAAATACTTTAGAAGGAACCGGAAACCTAATCTTAAACAGGAAAAAATGGATAAACAGCTACTCCTTTTCAAAAGACTAGAGAGGAGTGTGAATCTGATGATAGGCAAACCTATCTACTCATATTGAGGAAAATAAATAGTATAAGTTTCAGAGTTTAGGCGGAGACGTTAGATGTATAGAGCTGAAGTAAGATTTAGAAGGAAACAGTGACCTAATACTAAACAGGAAACAATGGATAAACCTCTACTCTTGTTCAAAAAACCAAAGAGGAGTGTGAACCGACATTAAGTGAACCTATTTATTACTATATATAATATACAATATGATAAAATATAATTTTAAGGTATGGTATATTTATGAATAAAGTGCTTAATATCAATGATAGAGCGTATGTAAATATAAAAGTGTACGAAAGTTTACAGTTTCTTAATAATTTGCTTAGCTTTTGGAAAGCATCTTTGCTATTCTAAAGCAACTTTGGATTTCGTTGTCACGTTTTTCATCCTCTGTTAAAACACCTCCTAGATATTAAATTGGAAATTTAAATTTAAATTTTATTTTTCGCCGGTGTATTAGCATGTGTTTTGTTTTGTTTTGTTGTTGTACTTTTCAGTGGAAGATAAACTGAACATAATTTATTTTATATGAGTTTTAAATGAAAGGAAGCCAATAAAAGCAAGACATCGTAACAAAACGTGGGGTATTTCTCCTTCTCAATTATGGATAACAGAATGCCTGTCTATGTGCATTCTTCTTCGTCAGTCAATGATTAAGATTAAAAAAAATATATAATTTCACCCCAAGCAAAGCGGTAATACCACTAGTACGCAGGGTGTTACAGGAAGTGAAAGTGAGAGTGAAGACTGAGAACCGGGAGGACTGAGGAGAGAACAAAATATGAATGGGGTACAAGAAGACAGAAGATGGCGATTGACATTGCATTTAATTTTTTGAAGATAGTAGTTATCAGGGAAATAAGGAAACAGAAAATAGTTCCAGAGGTGGGAAGTGCGAGAAAATAAAACTGTAGGAGTAAAAGAGGCGGTTGCTAATACTAGGACCTAGTTGCCAATCTAGTAACAAGCTTAAATATATGTAATCGGGGCAGCAGGGAAAAAAGCTCGCCAGAGCACTTGCCATGAAAATATTTGTAGAAAAGACAGAGCGAAGTCACGTGACGTCGGTGAGAAAGTCACTGAAGTTGAGATGCCCGGTCAGGATCCATTAAATTTCAGATACTACTTTGGATTTTGTCAAGAACTTTCCAGATGTACAGCAGGAATACCAGACTAGATATTGGCAGCAATATCCAATGCATGGACGAATGGTAGATTTGTAAATGTGCAAAATGGAATCTGACACGACACAGTGACTCAAATTTCCTTGTAGATGATGAAGCTATTGATTCGATATAGGCGCTCCGCTTCATGTCAGTGGAAACGTGATCCCCCCCTACCTCCGTATGTTAGTACTTAACACATTTGATAGAAAGAGAAAGATAATATATCCTTTTTTTTGTCTCCAGAAATAGGATTTCTGACAAAAGAAAGATAAACTGTCATTTTGTTTTCGATCAGCTTCCGTATTTGGTATACGCTCAAATAAAAGACGTTCTGTTCTTGACTTTAGTTTTGCTTAGCCTAGACTACTTACAGTACTTGGTGTTCGTCAGAATTTAAACCACTTAAATACTGATCGCATTTTACGTTGATAAACTTTCAACGTGACATGGCCGTAAGCTTTCGTAGTTATTTCCTATATATTTCTTCTCCCTCTCGTGTCCTTATGGCCATATCATGTTGAAACGCCAGTTCTCGTACGATTAGTGAAGTTAAGCAACATTAAGCCTGGTCAGTACCTAGATGGGTGACCGTTTAGGAATACCAGATGCTTTAAGCTTGGATGTGTAGATGGAGTAATGGATAACGATTCTGAATTGGAAATCGGAGAGCCAAGTTTCAATTATATTTGGATTCTTTATATTCACTTAGGTGTAAATACTCTTGTGAAAGATAAGAATCCAGCTTTCCCCCAAAGTATGGGTTAATTAGTAAAACTTAAAGTAAATCGTTATTAACTCCAAAGACATTCTTACAACCTAAAAATATTTTGCCTTTAAATAACCTGCAATGGGTTGATAAGTCGTGAAAAACAATCAATCAATCAATCCAAACTAATTTCTGCTGGCGTAAGGTAGCTTTTGTATTCCATTTTGAGCGATTGGTTATCACTGATTTCCATCAAAGTTACCTCAGAGTTATATTGTCCCTCAGCACCCATAGTACCCCATCCCGGTGATTTGAGTCATAGGATTAAGTAAATTAAAATGTATTGACCTAGAGGGCCTTGTCAGCTGAAGATATCATATATGTAAATATCATCTCACCAGTCACATAAAGGTAATTTCAAAACAGTAGCACCGTTCTTCATGAATGAATTGAGCTCTCTGGCTACTGGAGTTTTATACTGACTGATGCCAAATAGGTCGGGTTCGATTTCGGTATGAAGGAATTGGATGTCTAGTCACAGCTGTGATACTGCGAAAGAGGCTTGTATGTGGATGACAATATATATATATATATATATATATATATATATATATATATACTAATATGACGTATATTTATATGAGGCTTTTTGTTTATATATATATAGTAATATGACGTATATTTATATGAGGTTTTTGTTTATATATATATATATATATATATATATATATATATATATATATATATATATATATATATATATATATGATAGTTTGGTTTATATATTCAGGGTTCGAGTGATAAGTTGTCGTCTAAATTACGCAAAAAATATCACTGCCGTCTCACCTTAACAGATATATTTACAAAAGTTGCACAAAAGTATCTAGAAATATTAAATAGTAAGTTTATTCAATAAAATCTCAATTGACATTACGGCCCCCAGGCGACTTCCGAATCTCCTGCACCTCATCTAGACTGCCAACTTATTTAAGATGGTGAATGCAGCCATAATCCTTGCCTTCAGTTCATCTTTGGTGTTGCAAGAAGTTTTGTTGGTCTGTTGCACAATTGCGTCCCATCCATAATAATCAAGAGGGTTGCAGTCTGGGGAGTTAGGTGGCCGGATGTAAGGGGTGATGTGGTCGCAGAAATTGTCTGACAGCCATGACCCGGTTCTATTTCCTGTACGGCATGGTGTAGAGTCCTGCCGCCAGACATAGGGTTTTCTAGCAGCCACCCTCTTGACCCAGGACAGTACTATATCATCAATGCGCTTGATGTAGGACATTATGCTGAGTCTGAGGTCCTGTGGGAAGACGAAAGGAGGCATAAAGTTACTATCACCAGTGATCACTCGAAACCCCTTCATAATCATCATTAGACTCATCCATCTCTTTTCAAATCCTTCGCACTGTCCTCAGATTGACACCCAAACACTGAAATATATATGTAGGTATATATATGTATGTATGCATTTATATGTATGCATATGTATGCATATATATATATATATATATATATATATATATATATATATATATATATATATACACATACATCTTTCTGACCATAGCCCAATTAGATATCATGTAAATATTCATGAGACCTACCGGACACTATTCGTAACATACATGTTGACAACACTAATATAATCGCATCATCTACATGCAAAAAGGCTAAAAAATAATAGAAGCCTTATTAATAAAAGCAAAAAAAAAAAACAAAAACAAAGAAAAACAACGCTTAATAATATTAACAATATCTTGACCGTGTTTTGAAAAATGAAAACATTTTATGAAACATACATGCAACAAACTATTTCTTATTTAACATTTAAAATATTTAATCCTTGAAATGGCTAAATGTATAGCCGAAAGCGCTCGGATAAAAAGAACATTTAGACAGTTTTTATATAATTTATCATTTGAAAAGAAAAAAAAATATTAGATCGCATGAGAAATTGTATAAAAACTAAATAAAAGCCCCTTGTCTGTCGTATTCAATGAAATATGCATGAAAGAAGGATTGCTGCCTAAATACACAAATATATATGTATATATACATGTGTAGGCATATATATCTAGCTATCTATCTATCTGCGTGGTGTAATGGTTAGCAAGCTTGTCTCGCTAGATCAGTTACGACTAAGAAGTGAGTTCGATCCTCACCAGGTACCCCATACTTTCGGCCTTGTGCCACATCTAAGCTACGCTTAGAAAATAACTATGTGTGTATATATATATATGTATGCATATGTGTGTATATATATATATGTATGTATATATATATATCCATATATATGTATTCGCATATATAGATAGATATGTATGCAAATATATGTATATACATGTATGCACACACACACACACAAGTATATATATATATATTATACATAAAATCTATACATATGACAGCCGCAGTTGTATATACATACATACACACTTATATATGTATGTATGTATATACAATTGCTGCTGTTATATGTATAGATTTTGATTTTTCTGTATATATATATATATATATATATATATATATATATATATATTAGTGAACGTGACTACGTTTTCTTACTATGAATGTTTTATTGAGGAAGACTTGCGTTTACAATAAATCTTTGAACCTGTTTTTATTTTAATAATTCACTACTAATCAGTACTGACGTTTATCATACATTGTTCCACAAATAGTGGAAAAGGTCCATGAAAACGGTGCAATTTTTGGAATTAAATCAATTTACTCTGTAGATAACAATACAAACGCCCACTGGTACATCTCTGAGGAATAGATTCAAGAAAAGCTTCTCAGGTTGGTCAGCTCCAATAAAAAAATATTTTAAAGAAGCATACACCGACTAAATATATCTTGATATTTGCCCATATTTTCATCTCGCATTTATTGAATGCAATAAATCTTGATTTTTCTTTGAAATTATGAAACTTATTTTCTCACCTTGTCTATTTAAAACTATTTTGAAAATTGTCAGTGTTTTCTACTTAGAAATGTCGATTCCATACAGTGTATTTCTAGCTTTCTTTTTCAGTTGACATTAGTCTTGATACCTGTTCTTTTATTGTCCTTTCTCTTCACTAACGTCGTCTCATTTTCTTTCACTCCCAGTAACCCCTTGCGTCTTAGTAGCTATATCGCCTTGCCTGCAGTGAAATGATTAAAAAAATAACTCTTCAAGATTCAGTTTTAAATCTATGTATATAAGAAATGACTTGCACTGGTTTTAGCAATATTTACTGTAACTGTAGAACACTGTCATCATCATCATCATCATCATCATCATCATCATCATCATCCGTCCTTTGACTGCTTCAATTGTCTGTGGGAACTAAGGCAGTAGAAAATACAACCTCTTCCAGGATGATCTTTTGGCGGTGGCTCTCAGGGGTTCTGGCATTGTCATGAACGTTCATTCTTTGATGCTGTGTGACCAGCTTGTGTCCGCCTTCAACGATGCTTCGCTGATGGTCTTGCAAAGGCTGTTATGTCGTGTGACGTGGCCAAACTATAGCATTTACCGACGCTTAATAGGGGCGAGAAGAGATTTCTATCGGGACATGAAACATTTGGCCTTGCTCCGTATATAAATGCTAATATTTATGTACTATTATATTTTGTCATTTTATGCTATATTATATTGTTCCGTATATATATATATATATATATATATATATATATATATATATAAGCAGATTTTTCAAGTTATATATGGATTATTAGGCTTTCTAAATTTTTTAATTTCAGATGTTTCTATTTATGAGAACGACCAACTAAAGATACATATAATAAAATTTCTAATGTAGTTTAACTCAAAACTGCCTGCAGGTTCACGGAAAACATAGATTCCGCAATATATATATATATATATATATATATATATATATATATATATATATATATATATATATTAATGCTATATCCCTTCAGGGCGTAAAAACATAGCTCTTTACAGCTTCCTGTTCTTTACTATTTGTGAATTGGCATAACTTGGAAAAGATGGTGCAGTTTTTTTCCAGTTGCCTACTCTATAGTTCAGTATTTAAATCTTTCTTTCTCATAGACTAGTTGCCATGCAAATCGAAAGCTCAGTTTAGTTTACTATTTACCCCATAGCTGGCAATGGAAGAGACATATTCATACCTATCCTTAGGGCTTTTGTGTGGAAGTGAACGCAACAGATTAGTCCAGAATTTGAACTCGTCTCGCCGATTCCACGCTCCGGGCTGATATCCGTTACACTACCAGAATATTTTCCACTATGTTGTTTTCATGTATGAATAAAGTGTTAGTCAGCATGCATAAAATCAAAACATATTGAAGAAAGACGGCCTGGTTAATTTGACACTCACAGGACATATTGAAAGCAGAAGTGGCAGAGAAAATCCGGGAGTAACCTATCAAACGAGCATGTGTAAATGAATGGTAGTACAAGCATTGGGGCAAACGTTACTAACAGCTACAAAGAATAGGAAGTTGTGGAGAGCCATGATTGCTAAAGACCTGAATGGATGTGGCACATAGAAGAAGAAGAATGTGTTAGTCGCAATATATTCTGTATAAGGTGACGGAAACCAAGAACAGACTCGAACCAGTTTGCAAATTATAACCAAACTATTATATATATATATGAGGTCAGATCAAAAGGTAACGGAACTAGTGCTATAAAAAGTTAACTACAGCAGACATAAATTCGACTTTTAATCTAGTTTGTAGTAGTCCCATCCTGAGGCCACACACTCTATCCAGCGTTGTTACTATTAATGGAAGCATCCCTGGAACTCCTTTTTTTGGGATAGTGAGCAGCTGCTTTGTCACATTCTCTTGAATTTCCTCAACGTCTTGAAGTCGTGTTCCTTTCAAGTGGGGTTTGATTTCTGGAAAGAGGAAAAAGTCAC